TGACCCAGTTTCTCCTCGTGTTAATTGTGTTAATTTGATTATGATTCCATGCACCTGTGTTCCCCTGATTGCCCTGTGTTTATTAGCCCCAGTCTGTGTAGTCTTCCTTTGTCGGCTCTACTTGTTGGATGTTGTGAAATTCCCCTGTCATTCCCATGATTAAAGACTGTTTATGTACTCCACGTCTCCTTGTTCCTCGTTCCGCACTCCTCCTAGCACAGATCGTGACAGAAGAACCGACCAAAGACAGTAATCTCCGTGTGTTTCCCCTCCATTTGTTTTCCATTTTTTTCCTCAGTGTTTTTTAGGGATGTAACGATTAACTGCGAGCTGGTTGAAAATCGATTAAAATATGTGACGATTCTAATCGGTTGAGATGCTAAACAAATCGCGATTCAATTAGGGGTAGGAGTTTATATGAATGTATGTCTGAGGGGAACTTACTGTCTTTAGAAAAGTTTAGATGGTATTTTTTCTTTTCATCTTGCCTCTGTATAATGCATATTAAACGTCATAAGTGCAGCACTGCTTTGTTTACACCGGAAACCAAGGAAACGCTTTAAGCGCCACCTGCTGGCAGAGAGTGAATCTGCGTCTCATTCAGCTCGTCTGCTGTGTGTTTCATGCAGATATTTTTTATGTATAGTTTCACAAAACTGAAGTCAAACCATTCTGTTTTTGCTTCAAATTTAGAAATTATACAATGTAATTTAGATAAAAAAATCCTAATGTTGTATGTATGCAGCATCTTTGTTTGGATAATGATTAAAATGCAGTGGTTGCCTCTAATTTTAAATGGAAAGAGCACAGACAAAGCCTTATTTTGTTTATATGAAGATATTTATTTTATTTGTGTTACTTATTTATTTGATTTGGGTCTTGTTTTAAAATGTTAATTTAGTTTTGTTATTTAAATGTACATTATATTTAAATGTTGTTATTTAGCAGATGCTTTTATCCAAAGCGATTTACAAATGAGGACAATAGAAGCAATCAAAACCAACAAAAGAGCAATAATATACAAGTGCTGTATTAGTATATTATTATAGTGTTATATTTCAGTTTCACAAAGAAACATGCGGCATTTTGTCCAAGGAATAATAAAAGGACACATGTATTTATAATTTGTCTTAAATCTCATTTTGTAAAAAAAAATTGTGAATCAAATCGAATCGTGAAATCAAAATCGTGAATCGAATCGAATCGTGAGTTGAGTGAATCGTTACATCCCTACCAAATATACAAAATAATGTTCTTTTTAGCAACGTCATATGACCCCTTTAAAAAGATTTCTGTCTATGTGCTCCATCTGAAATTGACAAATTAAATTTGGCCTAATTTAACCTGCGTAAGAGAGAGAGAGAGAGAGAAAAAAAAATGTGTGCTTAAATGTCCAAAAGTGAGCAAAAGATGACCATAAACAGGTAGAGAGCACTAGTTTTATTCCTTTAAACGAAATGAATACTTTTATTTAGCCAGGATGCATTAAACTGATCAAAGGTGACAGTAAAAATTTTTACGTTGTTACAAAATTGAAAATAAATGCTGTTCTTTTGAACTTTCTATTCATTAAAGGTGACATACCATGAAAATCTGACTTTTCCAGGTTTTAAGTGCTATAATCAGGTCCCCAGTGCATCTACCAACCAAGGAAACGTGAAAAAGATTAACCCAGTAACTTCGTTTTGGTAAGCCTTTTTCTGCAAGCGTCTGAAAAACGAGCGCGTCTGATTTTGCTCCCTTGGTGACGTGGCAAAGGAATCTTATTATAATGGTACATTCACACGGGGCATCGGCGTCCACGCTTGATGGAGGGCGTTTCTGAAGCTTGGTGCTGACACGACCGTCATAGTGACAACAGCCAATCACATTAGTTTTCTGGTGTTGCATGAACGCGATTGGCTAGCTTCTGCACCAGGGTATTTGCATAAGGCGATCTGATTGGCTGACGCCTGTGTTGGCACTTGAAAAGTTGAAAAACTGGGTGGCGCAGCTCTATTCTGGAAAAGGGGGTGGGGAGCAGCAGCTCATTTGCATTTAAAGAGACAGGCCCGAAAAACAGCGTGTTTCTGCTTCCACTCAAAATAGGCATGTTCAAAATTATATAATAAATGATCTGTGGAGTATTTTTGAGCTGAAATTTCACAGACACAGACTTATATTACATATTGTAAAAAGGGGCATAATATGTCTCCATTAAAGAATCCTGAAAAATATATCCTGGTATATTAAGCAGCACAGCTGTTTTCAGCATTGATAATAATATGAAAAGTTTATTGTGCACAAATACTATACAGCAAATTAGAATGATTTCGGAAGAATCACGTAACACTGAAGAATGGAGAAATAATGCTGAAAATTCAGCTTTTCATCACAGAAATAAATTCATATTCAAATAGAAAGCAGTTGTTTTAAAGTGTAATAATATTTGACAATATTACTGATTTTACTGTATTTTGTTTTAAATGCAGCCTTGGCGAGTGTTGCTTGGTGAAAGTGTTACTGTAATAAAATAGAATTCCATTGCATGACACCATATGACATGGATATATGATATGAGTAGATATATATAAAATAATTAATTTGGTTCTTATTCAGTAACAAACAGCAGTTTCAGAATTAGCTCTTTTAAGATATATTTTGCATAATGCAATATTAATAGCCCTTAATAATTAGTAAAACTTACCAATATAATGTAAAAAAGAAAGAAAAACTACTCAAACTTCAGTCTACTGCAAGTACTAAAACTGCAGTCTTGGTGAAAATAAAAGACTTCTTCCAAAAACATTAAAACGTCTTTCTGACCTTAAACTTTTGAAGGTTAGCGTATATGGCACCAAGATAAATGTGAATGATAGCAGATCATTACAATTTTAACCTTTTGATTAAATTTTTTCTTAGTTATTTATTATTTATTATTTATCATGATCTCACGACAATTACCATCCAGACATTTTTTAGCTTTAAGCCTGACAGCAATGTTAAATGAATCTTAATGCAGAAATTGAAACGTATTCAACATTTAAGACAAGTATTCAAGTCATTGTCTGTATAAATTGCATTTTTATGTAATTCGTGCATTTTTTTTTTAATGACATTTGTGCCATGTCATTGACTGATGTTGTTTCTAACAATTTTTCTTCTCTTGCACAGGCCATTCATTCTGTAGCCCAGCGACAGGACATCCAGCCGGGGCAGTACCAAGACCTAGAGGGGATCCTGACTTTGGGACTGGACCCCGGAGTCCTGCAGCCCAGCCCAGCTCCAGCGCAAAGCTCTAGAGAAGAACAGAACCACACAGGGAGTTCACTAGGTATGTAGAGAAGCAAAATAAAGTTCTGGCAAAACAAAGCCATATATTGCTGAGGATTAGAGGGCAATATACAGCAAGATAAAACAAGTAAAAATTCTTTAAAATCAGTCAATCAGCTTGGAGCCTGCCATTTTGAGGAAGCTCCTGACATTTTCGTGCGTAGTACACCTGAGACTGTTGGGTCAAGATGCCTTGATGACATTCATAGAGACATGAAACATTGTCTACACCACAGTAATGTTCATAATATTCAAGTGTTACAGTAAAACAGCACATTATACTGTAAGAACTGACCTCACAGCAGATTATCTCCTTTTTACACAAGCAAGCACAAGTATGCTTAATATGAATTGTACTAGAAATGACAGAGCTCTGTTGAGTTAAGATCCACATGATCTGACACAGACCAGAGGTTAACAATTTCACTATGAATTTTGCTGTGGAAACTCTCGAAATCAACGAAGTCTGAACCCTCATAATGGATCAGATGCCATTTTAAAAACATATGCACTACTGTTCAAAGGTTTGTGGTTGGTAAGGTTTTTCAATGTTTATAAAAGGAGTCTCTTATGCTCACCAAGGTGGCATTTATTGTATAAAAAAAACAGCAATATTGTGAAATATTTTTACAATTTAAAATAACTATGGTCTATTTGAATATATTTTAAGATGTAATTTATTCCTTGATGCAAAGCTGAATTTCCAGCAGCATTACTCCAGTCTTCAATGTCACATGATCTTTCAAAAATCATTTATACTATGCTGATTTGCTGCTCAAGAAACATTTATTGTTATCATTGATATTGAAAACAGTTGCGCTGCTTAATGCTTAATATTTTTGTGAGATAGTTTTGTTCTTTGATGAACAGAAAACAGCATTTATTTGAAATAAAAATCTTTTGTAACATTTATAAATGTCTGATCATTTTAATGCATCCCTGCTGAATAAAAACATTTATTTAAAAAAACAACAACTTTTGAACAGTAGTGTACACGCTCCTCACAAGTCATGCCTCTAAAACCTTACTTACCGCAAATGCAATATTAGGTGTTAGTTAACACATTCGCTGTGCGCTATTTACATCTTTCCCAACACAAAAACATCCTTTATACTTTAATAATAGAGATAAGACATTTGGAATGCAGCGCTTATGTGGTTCCAACACTAATATATGACCGCGCTTTAATGAAAACCACAGACATCTCTCTTAATAGTGCATTTTGTGCCGCCCGTATTATTTAGATACCTAATTATTGCATACTTAGATGGATTGGCCATTGAAGAGAGCTGCTAGCTTAAAGATGAGTGTAAAGGATGTCTCTCTTATACATTCATTCATTTCCTGGCATTATCCTTTAGCTCCACAGTGTTAATGTGCTACCTTGGCGAGACCATTAGCTTGACTGTAAACACTAATATTTCTTTTTAAACAGCTCTATTTAAAGCCATTATTTGAGTATGCGGAATCTAAATAATATCTAAATATTTGAGTATGCGGAATAAGGAATCTAATATTTTTTTATCTAATATACCGTAAAAAATGAAGCATCTGTTTGGTTCGTTGAGCTTCAAGGTTAATGAAAACAGAGGACAAATAAGTCCCGGTTTCAGTTCCGTCTCTGTCATCTCTGTTTTTATTGGCTGGAAAGTCTCTCCATCAATTTCCTGCAGTCTTTTCCTTTTCCCATCGTTTTTGTCTCTGTCACAGTCGAGCCGTTTTTATCGGCCTGTCTGTGCATTTGCAATCCCTGACATGCACTGACAGGAGCAGCGGCCAGTCGATTGGAAAAAGCCTTAATTACAGCAGGCGTTTAAGATGGCGATGGAAGGCACACATGTTTAACCTTCAACCGCTCACTGTCTGCATGTCAAGTCAGGCTGTCGCAGGCGCATGTGGTTTTCCAGCTAAAGTTTGGAGTTTGTTACCGGTTGCTGGTTTGAAGCCCAAAATGAGTGAGCCATGAAATGCTATTGTGTCCTTGAGAAAGTTACTTAACCCCAGGTTAGATCAGTCCCTGTAAAGAGTGTACTGCAAGTGACTTATGATAATAGTGAGTATCTAAAACCTGTCAAGAACATGCCTGGGTCACATTTTACACCAAAATCAAAAGAAATAAATAAGAAATTATATTTTGCTTAAAGAAAGCAAATCCTATTTGCATTAACATTAAGATAATTTGCACTGTGTCACAATTTCTAATGAAAATTAAGCACATTGTCCCACAAAATTCTTATTACTGTAATCAGGGTTATTATAGTTAACAAAAAACTAAAACTGAAATTAAAACCATAAAAAAATCATTGCTTGAAATAAAATAAATGAGTTTAATTTTTAGTTTAACGTGTATTAAAATAACTCAAAAAATAATAATATATATATATAAATAATAAAAATTAAGAAAAACTGTGTAAACGTGTGTGTGTGTATATATTAAAGTTTTAGTAATTTTTATATATTTTTATGTATTAATATTAGTGCTGTCAAATGATTAATCGTGATTAATCGCATCCAAAATAAACGTTTTTGTTTCCATAATATATGTATGTGTACTGTGTTTATTTATTATGTATATATTTTTAAAATATTTACATGTATATACATTTATATATTTATATTATTATATTTTATATTATATATAAATAT